ATTTCATTTTTATCAAAGGGAGTTCCCAAGAGGCACTCGCCACCACTCAATTTTTTCCCGTTTCATTTAAATAAAATATATATTTGAACAAGGAAATGATTCCTATCCAAAATATAGAAGGAGAAAGCCAGAAAGTGGAGGTCACATCGGCAAGATCAAAATGGGACAATATGGACGTCAAGTTGAGCAAGAAATCACCAATCATCTGTCATGTCAATGTTGAAATCTGCTCATCAATTCATTCAATCGAGTATTGCATCAAATGCATATATCAAAGTGGTCAGATCAAGCTGTTTTTACACAAAATATAGGAGAAAATGCAGAAGATGAGGTCGCATCGGCAAGATCATTGAGTAATATTGAAATGCATCATTTTTCTCCACAAATTATAACAATGATTCAAAATCAATCATCATTTTCTTACAAAAAAATGTGTGACACACAGCAAGGTGCAGGTAATTCGGTTAATATTAAATAAAGTTTCAGAAAAGTATATTTTATTTTTGGAAGATTTTTTTAATAAAGAGAATCATATGAACGATTTTAGCATTTTTACTGACAACAAAAACTAATTATAATCAATTTAAATTCAGTATTTTGCTTCCTTGAAATATTAAATTTAATTTATTAATTTGAAATTAAAACTAAAATAAAACATCGAGAAAGATTTTTCATGTTAAAAATGCATTTTAAAACTTAGCTAACGCATTTCTTAGGATCGATAGATAGATAGATAGATAGATAGATATAGATAGATAAATAGATATGAATATATATATATATATATATATATATATATATATATATATATACATAGAGAGAGAGAGAGAGAGAGAGAGATGGATAGAATGAGATAGATAGATCTGAACAGAATGAGATAGAGAGATAGAGAGATATGAATAGAATTTTATATATATATATATATATATATATATATATAGAGAGAGAGAGAGAGAGAGAGAGAGAGAGAGAGAGATGGACAGAATGAGATAGATAGATAGACGTGAAAAGATTGAGACAGATATGAACAGACTGAGAGAGAGAGATACATAGACAGATAGATAAATAGATAGATATGAATTGAATTATATATATATACATATATATATATATATATATATATATATATATAGATAGAGAGAGAGAGAGATGGACAGCATGTGATAGATAGACAGATAGATAAAATAGATATGAATAGAATTATATATATATATATACACAGAGAGATAGAGAGAGAGAGAGAGAGAGAGAGAGAGAGATGGACAGAATGAGATAGATAGATAGATAGATAGATAGATAGATAGATAACTGGGATAAGGAAACAAATGTCTTTTCTAAAAGATACAAACCAATTTACTTTTCAAATATTAAGACTTATTTTTAAGTGGACGGAAAAACCAATGAAAGAATACAAACAACGATTTTTTTTTCCAGTAAGAACGGAAGGACACAGTACAATAGACAAAAGCAACTCTTCGTCATTTTTTGTCGACTATTTCCTTTTAAACAAAGCTATTAGAAACCGAAGTTACTCTATGGAGTGCATGAAGCGTGTCAGTACACGGCTTGTTGCCTTGAAGCTCTCGTAATCGGCACAGACATTTCCGTCCTTGGTCGGCGTAACTTGACTCTTTCACCACTGACATGCGCAGCAGATGGTAAATCTCACTTCCGCTGTTTGGTGAATGACTTTCTTTGTGACAGAATCGTCCTTCGTCTTCAAGGCAGCGGGCTGTGTGAAGAGATTCGAAGGTTGAGTTTTTTTTTTTTTTTTTATCATTTCACTCCAAGCAAGGTACTAACACCACTAAGACGTAAGGAGCTAGAGAACACAAGAAAATAAACACGATCAAGAGAATAACGAAAGAACAAAAATCAAGAGGACAGAAGATAGCGATTGACATTGCATTTAAATCTTTGAAGATCAAAGTTGACTGGGAAGCAAGAATCCGGCAGAGAATTTCGCAAGCGGGACAAGAAACGGTTAGTATAGAATTTACGGTTATATCTAGGCAATTTAACTGTAAAAAGATGAGACCTAGCCACCAATCTAGTACTGAGATTAAATTCATAAAGTCTAGGAATCATAGAGGAAAGTAATATTTTTTTAAAAAAATAAAGAAATATGGCACATGGCCAAAAAAGGGATATGGGAATGCTGGTCTTCAAACTTAGCTAGCCACGATTACTAACCCAAACACATCACAGTAATCCTTACACCAAAACAACACATTCTTACTTACCATTCTTACTACAGTCACCATAATACCTCTTAGTCTCTATGTAGTCCTAACTAGTTCCCATATGGTTGGGGATAAAAATAACAACTTTTAAAATAGAAGCTTCAATGAATTACAATTTTGTATCCAAAGAAATTAAACAAAATAGTGTTAGTAATATCATAAAGTTGAACGGGACAATTACCAGGAAAGTATTTATATAAATGACACAGGGCAGCTACGTTACGGCGGTGGGAAAGTGATTGAAACCGAGATGACAGGTTATTTTAAACCTACACAATTTGGCTGCATGCTTCTCTGTGAAATTGCAATATAACCTCTGGTAAAAAAAAAACATCTAATGATAACAGCAAAAACATGCAATGATAACAGCAGGAATTGCTATATGAGCACTGGTAAAAAATAGTTGAGACATTAGATTTATAATAACCAGAAATCCTCAAGTTCACATGGCACAGGCATTAGTTAGATCCAGTGACACGACCAAAAGAGTGTGAGTTCAATACCCGGTTAAGGCAGTGGAGAACTTGGAGAGGGGAATTAACAAGAGATAACTGATAACTGACATCCATTAAAACATGGCACGTGGAACTAGAACAGTCTACCCCAGTGAGCGAAATAAAGGGTTCAGTTCGATACTCCAGCCACCCGAAGAAGGCCGATGCGTACAATGGCCGAAATGTTGTAATAATTATGGCGACAAAGATGAGGAAAATAGTCCGAATAATATAAACAGTGTAAATTATTTAAGTATGCAGGTTTTAGAGGAATAATATTATCATGCAAATGTATGGTGCCAAATTGTGTATATATAAAAGGCTATTAATTAGCGAAAATATACACTACCTAATTGATTTAAGTATGCAAATTTGAGAGCAACAACATTTGGTACACAAAAGCATGCAGCCAAAATGTGTATGTATAAAAGGCTGCAGGAAAATTTCAATTCACCAAAATATACGCAGCTTAACTGAATTAAGTGTGCAAGTTTGAGAGCAAAAATATTTAGCACACAAAAGCATTGAGACAAAATATGTAGGCATAAAAAATTGTCAGGGAATATGACATTTGCGAAAACGCAGGGAAGCTAAAGGATTTAAGTGTGCAAGTTTGAGAGCAAGGACATTTAGCATACAAAAGCATGAAAGCAAAATGTGTAGCTATGAAAAACAGCAGAGAAAATGCCTTTCACAAAAATTACGAAGTCTACATGATTTAAGTGAGCAAGTTTGAGAGCAAGAACATTTCGAATACAACCAGAATTGAACCACTGTTTGTAGGTTTAAACAGCTGCAGGAAAAAAATCCATTCGACAAATAGTACAGAGCGTAAATAATCTAATTATGCAAGAATTAATTAGCACGAAGAAACCATGGAGCTAACATTTTAGGAATAAAAGGCTGCAGCAAAGAAGCTATTCGCCAAAACATACAGAGCCAAAATGATTTAAGTCTGTGCGTTTGAAAGCAATAATATTTAGCATACAAAAGCAAAATATGCATGTCTGAAGGCAAAGGGGAAAATGACATTCACCAAACGTACGGAATCGAAACGATACCATGTGTCCTCAAGGACACACGACACAGTGGATAAAGGCATTAGTTAGATCCAGTGACAGGACCAAAAGAGTGTGAGTTCAATACCCGGTTAAGGCAGTGGAGAACTTGGAGAGGGGAATTAACAGGAGATAACTGATAACTGACATCCATTAAACATGGCACGTGGAACTAGAACAGTCTACCCCAGTGAGCGAAATAAAGGGTTCAGTTCGACATTCCAACCACCTGAAGAAGGCCGGACTGTACAACGGCCGAAACGTTGTAATAAATAGGGCGACAAAGATGAGGAAAATAGTCCGAATAATGTAAATATTGAAACGATTTAAGTATGCAAGTTTAAGAACGAGAACATTTAGCACAAAAAATCATAGAGCTCAAATGTGTAGGTGTAAAAGTCTGTAGAGAAAGACCATTAACCAAAACTTCAAACAGTTATATGCCATGCGTGATACACAATTAGACGATCATATCTTTCGATACATGACTGTCAGATTTTTTCCCGCAATAGGTTGCCATTTCTTTCTGTGGTAGACCAGTTGCATTCCAAGGCTCTAGAACCCGGTCTGTCCTATTATTTACCCATAGCTGAGGGGAGAAGAAGAGGATTCATTCCTTTCCCAAGGGTATTAGCACGTAAGTGAATGTAACTGCATTCGACTGGAATTCGAACTCGGCTCTCCGATTCCTCAGTTCGAGCCGAATGATTTAAGTGCGCAAATTTGAGAGCAATAACATTTAACACAGAGAAGCATGCAGCCGAATTATGTAGGTTCAAAATGACCTGTCATCTCGGTTTCAATCACTTTGCCGCCGCCGTAACGTAGCTACCCTGTGTCTTTTATATAAATACTTTCCTGGTAAATGTCCCGTTCAACTTTATGATATTAATAACGCTATTTTGTTTAATTTCTTTGGATACAAAATTGTAACCTTTGTAAATATTCATTGGGGCTTCCTTTTTAAAAGTTGTTATTTTTATCCCCAACCAACAGACAAATTGTACATATTGGAACTAGTTAGGACTACATAGAGACTGGGAGGTATTACGGTGACTGTAGTAAGAATGGTAAGTAAGAATGTGTTGTTTTGGTGTAAGGAGTACTGTGATATGTTTGGGTTAGTAATCGTGGCTAGCTCCCTAAAATATTCTAGCTTTCAAACTTGCACACTTAAATCATTTAAGCCCCGTATGTTGTCGCGAATGCCATTTTTTTTCTACAGATTTTCATACCTAATCATTAGGGCTACATTCGTTTGTGCGCTAAATGTTCTTACACTCAACCTTTCACTCTTACATCATTTAGGTTCCGTACGTTTTTCGAATCTTATTTATCTGCAGAATTTTTATCTACACATTTTGGTTCCATGCTTAAATGTTCTGGCTCTCAAAGCTGCTCTTTTAAATCATTTAGAATTCGTACGTTTTTTTCGAATTGCATATTCCCTGCTGCCATTTACACCTACATATGTTCTGGCTCTCAAACTTACATACTTCAATCATTTAGGCTCCGTATTTTTTCACGAATACCATTTTCTCAGTAGCCCTTTATAATCACACATTTAAGTTCCATGCTTTTTTTGTGCTTAATATTCTTGCTCTCAAACTTGCACACTTAAATCCTTTAGCCACCTTGCGCTTTTGCAAATGGCATTTTCCCTGCAAATTTTATGCCTACATATTTTGTCTCAATGCTTTTTTTTGTGTTAAATATTCTGGCTCTCAAACTTGCACACTTAAATGAATTAAGCCGCATACATTTTGGTGAATTAAAACTTTCCTGCAGCCTTTTATACATACACATTTTGGCTCCACGCTTTTTTGTGCTAAATGTTGTTGCTCTCAAATTTTTACACTTAAATCATTTAGGCTCCGTACATTTTGGCGAATAGCATTGTATGGGACGCCGTGTACTTTACTTTCTGTGTCTGCCATAATGCATATTTAATTTGATGCTTTCTTTTTGCAAATGTTCGGATATCCTTTCACACATCTGAAATCGTGTACGGATTTATTAGCCCAAAAGCCATGTTATGTAGCCCTAACTTTCAACTCGCATGTGTAAACGTAGGGGAGAGGTTTGAGTTACGAAAAAAGTAGGTTGTATTATTATTTATTGCGCGTTGCTCTTATATGACTTCCCGCGTTTTCGCTCATTTGATTTAGTTTTCGGAAATAAGAACATTTTTTGTTTTTTAGATGCACTTTTCTGTAATCACATTTCAACTTTATTATTTACCCTCTTTACATTGTCCGTACTGTTGTCCTCATCTTTATTCGCATATTCAGGACGTGAATAAGGGATTTATTTTTCCTATAGCTTAGTTTGTTGGGAGGGCATCGCCATACTGGTGAATAACGTTTTCTAATCAGCAAAAATGACACTTTCGAATTCAGGCTTCATTTATTCGATCAAGTTGCTGGCAATAAACCTCTTTGGCGGAGGTTCGTTCACGGTCAAACAGCTTGTAATAGACGGTGCCTATCATATTCCACAAGACAGAAAGATTTCTGTAGATGGACACCTGGTTTTGGCGGTGGAACTGATTCAATTTTGTAATAACCACTGTCTGTTTCGTTTTCACTTGACATACTGTTGTGTATTCCGGGATGAAATCCGGTCTCAAATGAATGACAAACGCAGGAATGAAATATAGCAAATAAATGTATTGAAATAATAATACAATTGGTAAAACGGTTAGTAGATCCAGAAATGCGGTTAGTAGCAATAATAATAGATATACAGTCTAGGAAATTCAGTATTGAAGTAGGACTTCCTTCTGAGTCTACGTGCTCGCAACTGTGACTCCTACAAAGCGGTTACCTCACTCCCTTACTCTCTCACTGTCTCACTGTATCACCGTCTCACTGTCTCCTCTGGGTATTTACCGGCAGCAGTACAAGTACACACTGGGCGAGTCCACTGTTATGAAAAAGGGGTGGACCCCATAACACATACCAAACCCAATTTTCCCCACTTGTTACAATGCGATAAAAAAAAATGAAAGTTTAGAGTTCCTGGTTAAAAGATTGCGACAATTCGCGAAACACTGTGTTCAAATCTCAAAGAAGGAATTTGGGGTTCTTGTGTACTTTAGCCTTAGCTCACAAAGATACCAAATTCCTTCTTTGTATGTTTTTTTCCAAAGAAATTATGAAATGTACCAGAAACAACCCACCGTCGGATTGAATAGCTGATAAATTAATTCTAAACACTCGTTTCTACCAGTCAGCCTTACTCATAGTAATGTAATACGTAATTATATTTTGAACACTCATATCTATCTATCTATCTATCTATCTATCTATCTATCTATCTATCTATCTCATTCAGTTCAGTATCTATCTATCTATCTCAATCTTTTCCTATCTATCTATCTATCTATCTATCTATCTATCTATCTATGTATATATATATATATATATATATATATATATATATATATATATATATATATATATATATATGAATAAAGAGAAAAGGAAAACCTATCTTAGCCGCCGCGTTTTTGTCGTGTGATGGACTTTATCAAGGCTAACGTCTGAGGGACTCACCACATTTTTACTTCTATTTATAAATAATTTTTGCAAACTAAAATTCTGAAGAGATGACAAATTCATTCCAGACACTGTTTTGTACCAATCAACCTTGGTTCTGTCTTGGTTGGTTGATTCATAATTGACAGTAGTGAAATACGTAATTGTATTTTAAATACCTATGTATTTACTACAATTACATGTTTCACACACACTCTCTTCTCTGTCTCTCTTTATACTTTTATATATATATATATATATATATATATATATATATATATATATATATATACATTAAAGTTCAAAGGTTTGAAGCCACCGCCATAAATTAGCATGGGATGAACTTAACAGAAGAATGAAAAAATAAAAAAAAAGAGTTCTTAGAATCATTGAAAAAAGAATGGAATCCATTATCAAAACTTATACTTTCAGAAACTTTTGCAACGAATGCCAAAAAATTATGCTGCAGTAATCAAGGCTAAAGGAGGCTATTTTGACGAGAGCAAAATTTAATGGCTTTTTTCTTTTTGCCATAATTAAATTTCTAATAAAAATCATGTCTCACTTTTTTAACCATGTATAATTATTTTCTCTCATTTAAAATACAAAACAACTAAATTTTAGCCCAATTTAAAAAATTACCAGGGTGGCCTCAAACTTTTGAACTGTAGTATATATATATATATATATATATATATATATATATATATATATATATATATATAAAGATTATTACCTGTAGAACCACATTTCCACCTAGAAAACACGATTTTAAAAACCATGACAAATTCACTATAATTGAGAGAATAGAAAAGTCCAGAGCAGATAACATTAGAAAGATTTTAGAGTCCCATGAAAATAAGTGGATACAACGTTTAAAAACGCACTATCCAAACGGGCTTAACCACAAATTTAACAATATAGATAGTATTAATATATAAGCCTACAAATCAGGACCTATTCATATTTCTCACCCACACAAGACAGACATGGTTACGGAGGCGTGGAGGCCTCACACTTATACACACACCCACACGAATATACACACTTACGCACATCATAATCACTCACTCCCTAATGAGCCAAATGATAACACACCCATAGTAATACACACGCTTACACACATCATACTAACTCACTCCCTAAGAAGCAAATAACACACACACACACACACACAGACACACACACACACACACACTAAACAGAGAAGCATCCCCTTTCCAGGAACCAATAAAACTGTCAAAATGACCAAGGGAATTCAGAGCAGCATGAATCCATCCAGCTCTTATCTTAAATAACAACTTAAAAGAGACTGTTTGACCAACACAAGGGCTGACCAAAATTCATGTTAAAAAAATGAAAACTCCAGACAAAAGTTCATTTTCTTCATCAAGACATTCATTTCTGTAGTCCACTGCTACCAGCAAGCAGAGATATTTCTTCTCCTGATGATGGCCATGTTGGCCGAAACTAGTCGAGGAATCTAAATGAAATAATAATAAAAACGAAAGAATATTAATATGCAACCCAGTGTGTGTGAAAATTTTAATTTTTTAATATTTTTTATTGTTCAACACACACACACACACACATATATATATATATATGTATTTATAATACAATTACGTATTTCGAGATATATATATATATATATATATATATATATATATATATATATATATATTTGTGTAATGATACAATATGGTAATCCGTATGAAATTCCCATGAGGATATAGATCCAGGGAGAGTTCTATGTCAAAAAAAAAACAGACCAAAGTTATTATTTATCAAAGAATATCAAACACTTAAAATTCCATGAGGGCTCTAAGAAAAAGGGTGATTTGTTTGTAGGTCTTGAAAGATTGAAAGCTGCTTTTTTTAGAGCTCTCATGAAATAAAAAATTATTACCTATGGAATTTTAAGTGTTTGATATTCTTCAATTAATAATACATACATACATACATACATATATATATATATATATATATATATATATATATATATATATATATATATGAATAAAGACAAAATGAAAACTTATCTTAGTCGACGTGTTTCGTCCTCTGACGGACTTTATCAAGCCAAATGTGAGGATTTTATTTTGCATCAAGTATTTATAAACAAAGATAAAACGAAATTTTCAAATCTCAGAGATGGTCATAAATATTCATCGGGTTAACTGAGAAGTCTTGAAACCTATGGAAGATGCTAAGTGACATAATTTAATGTCTAATACAGGAATGTGAGTCAATGATGTTAATTTTTTAATGCAATTAATATTTATTTAGTTTGGCATTTATTCATGTATTCTTCTTTTATGTGTTGTGTCCTTTGAGGACCTAGGCGATCGTGGCCCTCCACATCTTCCTGTTCTTTGTAGCTCTTAAAAAATTTTGTCTTTTTGTTATTTCTCCCAAACCCTATTCTACCATCCATTTGCTGAAGCTCATCAAGTATATTATACGCTGCTTTCCATCTATCCGCCCTGTGAGTATCAGATTTTCTAAGCCCTTCTTCCTCATTACGTGCCTGTGATGTTTAGTATAAGTTTCCTTTTTGTCTCCATTTTCTCCAAAGCCTCGTTCTTTCTCAAATGTTCGGTTCATGGTGTCCTTAGCAACTTTCTGTAGAACCAGTAGTCGTTGTTATGAGTCTCTTCTTCATCTTTGAGGAGATTGTCCAGCATTCGCTGCCATACAAGAGGACATCTCACGTAACTGTTCATTACTCTTTTTCTTTGTTTCTAACGAAATTTTCCTGTCTCTTAATACTCTGCTTAGCTTTTGAAATGCATCTTTGGCCATCCAAATACTTCTTCGCGTTCTCACTTTCCGTCTTCTGTTAGAACACTTTCCAGATATTTAAATTTTTTTGTATCTGCTTGATTTTAGGATACCCCTCCTTGTAATTTGTATTTTGGGCTCATCCTTTTGCTGATGACCATTCATTCTGTCGTCTTTATTTACCTATTTTAAATAACAGGATTTTAAGAGTTTGCTTTTTTTTTCACACACACATACACAGATACATACATACATATATATATATATATATATATATATATATATATGTGTGTGTGTGTGTGTGTGTGTGTGTGTGTGTGTGTGTGTGTGTGTGTGTTTTTAAAAAAATAGTGCTCGATACAAAAGCCGAGCATAAATATAATTATTTATTTAAAAATATGATTCCAACGCTACATAAGAGGTCTCATGTTTCAAAACAGGAGCCGAAAACTTCAATACAATTATTTGAATTAAATTGAATTAAAATACCAAGCTCTGTTCCATCTTCAAGCGAATTTTTTGGGGGATTTCAAAAAAAAAAAAAAATTTCGCTTGAAGATGGAATAGAGCTTGGTACTTTAATTCAATTTAATTCAAATAATTATATTGAAGCTTTTTTTTTGTTTTGAAACATGAGAACTCTTATGTAGCGTTGAATCATATTTTTATATATATA